AAAAAAAAAAAAAAATCATTAGGTGCCTTCTTTTCAAGAGCTATTTTTGACATATCTATCCTACAGTCATGTGTAGAACAACTTCAAGGCCTCAGGGGTGTTGTTTATGCCACCGCTTCTCCTTTCCTACTTGACAGCCAGCAGGCCGAGGGGAGGGAGAAGGGCCTCACGACTAGAAAGGGATTCAGAGTCCCGTTGTCTTGGCAACTGCACTGCAGCTCACCGCCCCCCCCCCCACCACGGGGTCACTCAACTCAGGCAGGGGCCCTGTGGGTAAGACACCACCCCTCCCCACTGTCCATGTCTTCCTGTGACCAGAGGTTGAAGCTAAGGGCTGAGGCTGGTTACTAGGGCAACCAAAGCCGAGCCCTTGGGATGTGTGAAAAGGAAAGCTCGTAAGTGGAATTCAGGGTGCAGGATGAATTATGCGAGCCTGCCCACAGACACAGAATGTTAAGTCACACTGGCACACACAAAGGCATACAGACACACAGGCATAGACACACATGTGGACACATGCACCGACCAGCACTCACTCCTTCTGCCCAGATGTGCACAGTGACTCCAGCTAGCTGGAGCATCAAGTCCACAAGCAGGAGGCAGGCAATGAGGTGAGACATGCAGGAAAGACCTAGACCATGGAAAAGGTGAGGGGGATACCTTACTGTCGTAAAGCAAGAAACAAAAACCAAAAAACAAACAACAAGAAAATCCCAATCCTCCCCCCAAACCCCAAACATACTATTGCATACCTTTTCATCCATGACTTACATTCACATTTGCATTACATTTTAAAAACAGCTTTATTGAGGTCTAATTTCCAACCATAAAATTCACTGTTCCTAAAGGGAGACATCTGGAAGATGTCACTCCCCTAAAGGGAACAGTGAATTTTAGTCAATTTACATGGTTAGGGAACCCACCACAATCCTGTCTGAGAGCACATCCATCACCCCAGTGAGACCCCTCACATCCATCAGCAGTCAATCCCCATCACTACCTCCAGCCCCAGGCCAGCATAAATCTACTTTCTCACCCTGCAGATTCTGGGCATTTCCTATAAGCTGGCCAAGCAATACGTGGTCTTTTGTGTCTAGCTTCTATCACTCTGCATGTTTGGGGATTCAAACATGCTGTACGTGTATCAGTAGTTTGTTCCTTCAGTAATTTTCTGCTGTTTGGCTATACCACATCTTGTTTAGCCCTTAACCAACTGGTAGACATTTACATTGTTTCTGCTGTGGGGCTTTATGCATATTGCTGCTGTGAACAACCGAGGGGGTGCCTTTGTGCACACAGATGTTTTCCTTTCTAATTTCTCTGTGGTTTCACTTCTTTTTCTTGCATGCTTGCAGTGGCTAGAACCTGTAGCACAATGTTGGAGAGAAGTGGAGGGAGTAGACATCTTTGCTTTGTTCTGGACGTCAAGGGAAAACAATTCATTTCTTCACTATTAAATATGACGTGAGCTGTGGCTATCTCATAGATACCCTTTATAGGTAGAGGACCTTCCTATGTATACATAGTTTCTTGAGGTTTGTTTTTGTTTTTACGACGAATGGGTCTTAGACTTTGTCATATGCTTTCTCTTTGACTATGACGATGGTCTACCATATTAAGTGAGTATATTACCTCAATGGTATTTTGAATATTTTAACCAATCTTGCATGCCTTGGATAAATCTTATTTGGTCATGTATAACCTTTTGAATATGATGCTGGATTTGGTTTGCTAATATTTTGTTGAGATTTCTGGCATCCATATGTACATGCATGATGGATAGTGGACCATAGGATGGTTGTGTGTCTCTGTGTGGCTGTAGGAGCAAGGTAATAGTATTCCCATAGGATGTGTCAGGAAACAGTGCCATATTTCAGAAGAGCCTGTGAAACACTGGTATTGTTTCTTTTGCAAATGTCGGGTAAAATTTGCTAATGAAGCCAGCTGGCCCTAGGCTGTCTGGTGGGATGATTTTTAATTTACTCCTTTGATTTCCTTACTTGCTCCAGGTTTACTCAGATTTTATAATTGTACTATCGCATTTGCTCCCCACTCTATCCCAATATTTTGTTGCCTGCCGGTGCCTTTGGATGGGTCTCTGGTCTAGAATTTGCAATCCTGGACATCTGCAGACATTGCTGGATTTCAGCTCCTAGTCTGCACCCCATGATAGCATGGGGTCTCAGCTGTGACACTCCCCTCCCCCCCACCCCCTCCTACACTGCATACATGGGAATGGGGGCAAAGGCCTGGTGGTGGGGATGCGAAGGGCGAGCTGACTCCCTCAGTTACACCCACCCAGCCATTCTCCAGAAGTCCTCTTGCAGACCATGGGTCACTCTGCAGCTATGACCTCCCCCCAGCAAACACCCCCACATCCACTTTATCTGACACAAATCCTTCTCACTGCTCTCATTCCCTGGCAACTCATGCCACACATCTGGATCAATCACCTTATCTCCAACATATCCTATGGGTGTGTGGTATGGTATGAATACTTTTGTCCTCTCCAAAACTCATGTTGAAAGTTAATCTCCAATGCAACCTTGATCTTGAACTGCCAGAACTATGAGAAATAAGTTTTTCTTCTTATTAATTACCCAGTATGTTCATCTATCTTATGTTGCCACAACAGAATACCTGAGATTGGGTAATACATAATGGAAACAAGTTTGTTTGGCTCATGGTTCTGGCATCTGGAACGTTCAGAATTGGACACCTGCACCTCCTCATGGCCTTGGACTGCTTTTTAGCTCATGACAGAAAGTGGAAGGGGAACCAGCGTGTGCAAAGAGATCACATTGCAAGAGAGGAAGCTCGAGAGGGGAAGTGAGGAAGCCAGACTGTTTCTACCAACCTGCTCTCCTGACAACCAATCCATTCCTGTGAGAGTGGTGACTGCTTCACCCTAGCAGGAGGGGGCTTCAGAGGACATTCATCAATTGATAATGGATCCTCCCCCAAGACCCTAACACCTCCCACCGAGGCCTGCCCCCCAACACTGCCACACCGGGGCTCAAACTTCAACATCAGTTATAATGGAGAAAAACAAACCATATCCAAACCACAGCACCTGGTCTGCAGTATTTTGTTACAGCAACAGAAAATGGACTGAGGCAACATCTGCTCACTCTCCCTGATTAAATGCTCAATTCCTGAGGGCAGGGACGACCTCTGCAATGCCCCCTCACTTGCTCACAATGACCAGTATAACATAGCACAGAATGAGGGAGAGGCAAAGTGAGCAAACTAAAACCCTGAGGATCGGTTAAACGATTGACTGTCAGTGGAGGCATGGATCTGAATTGACTTGGAAGGACGACAGCAAGCAATTCAGCGTTTAGGGAGTCAGACAAAGGCCTGTGTCTCTGGGCAACACTTTATGACCTCCAGGAACTCTCCGCATAGGGATAATTATACCAGCCCCACTGCATTCTGGTGGGGATTCAACAATGCATCTTATCAAGACGGGGCATTACCAGCTATGAGAGGTCCACTAGAGCCCCTGGCACTTTTCGTCCTTCACCCCTAGCCCTGATGGAGGTAATCCAGTTGAGGGAGCTAGCTGTGAATCCAGCCTGCTTAGCTTTGCATGCCAGTTCCACCTCTTATTGCCTGTGTGACCTTGGGCAAGTTCCCTACCTCTCTACACTCTGCTTTTCGAATTCATAAAACAGGACTGACAAAATGAGCTAACATTAAAAAACACCCACAGAAACCTAGCAGACATCAGCCTAAGTGCAATGCCATGTTACTATGCCTTCCAAACGCTCCCCTGATTCACAGATCTGAATTTAGGCCTTTGAGCTTCAAGAAAGAAAAGCCCTACTTTAATTACCTTCACCCTGGAGCTAGGAGGGAAATCCTGGCAGGGTCAGTTTAACGGTCAAGCTCTATGATGAGATCCCAAGTTCAAAATCTGAGACTCATACCTGTTTTCAAGCCCTTTCTGTCAGCAGGAGATGCGATTTTTTTGTGGCAACACAGCTCTGGGGGCTACCTAAAAACACAGACTGACACAAAGCAGAATTTGCTTTCAGTTCAGGAGAATCGCACGGTCACTTGCTGGGTACACATCTCAGGATTCTGTAGGGGCGAAAAAGGTAGATTTAATCAATGGTGTCCCTTGAAATTAAAAGACACGTGTCTGAATGCCAATACGATTTTGAAATAAGTCAAGGATGCTCTGGTTCTCACAAAGCAGGTACAAAACCGCTATTTGTGGTCCTCCACCCAGGCACACCAGACAATAGGGAATGGTCCCTGGATCCCTTAAGCCAGGGCATCAATACCAATGGGCCAGGGCTCCCACAGTGAACAGCAGTGAACAGCAGGCTCTGCTTCCACGTCTCCTGTGGGCAGGAAGACTCTCTTCCATTTGCACTGCCTGGCTGGTCTAGATGCGGGTCTCGCCACAGGGCCTCGGGCAGCGACTGGACTGTATTCTCTAGTGCACCCCCTACTCCCCTGTTTTGCATCTCCACAGGGCTGAGCTCCTCTTGGTGAGCTCTGAGCCGCTACTGGGGATTTCAAGGTAGTGTTCTCAGATCTGACAGGAAACAAGCCACCGCTGATAAACAAACCTGAATTCTACAGTCACTTTCTTTCATACATACATTTATTTGGCATTGACGATGAGGTACCCCATCAGGAATTCCTTCGAGGGGGAATACTACTCGATTGTTAAAGAGCAGGGAAACATTTACTTACATTTAGCTTATCATATTCATAATAGTTTACACAAACAGTACAATGGTGAACCATCAAGTTCTCTTTTCCACATCCCTTTCCCACACTTGTTTAGCTTCTGGTACTTGAAACTGGACCTCAGGGTAGCACACTGCATTTCAACAGACTTAGCGTTGCTTCTGGGAGGCAGTCAGTTAAATGGCACAAAAGCACAGCAACAAGAGACAGCAACAAGGCAATCACACTACACAGACATTTTATCTCTTACTGACAACAAGGTAGAGAGGAAAGATGGCGATCCAGGGTGGGAAAGTGACAACATGCACCACAGGAGCCACATGAGATGAGGTGAGGACCATTGGTATGCAGTTCCCCTTGTCACAGAATGCCTCACAGCGATCCAGGAATGACAGGCACAAGAGAGTAGGAACTTCCTTCCAGCATCGTGCTGGGAGGATTCCAGTCATGACACAGGTCTCGGTATCCTCCAACTAGAGCTTACTGTCTGGTCCCACGCCCAGGAGCTGGCAACACTGCATCTATGTCTGAACCCCTTCCGACCTCCGTAGTGTGATGACAAGCATCTCAGTATTCTTCTAACCACTGTTTGAGCAGCCTCTGGAACACTCTTTTGCTCTCCTGCTGCCTCTCCAGTTGGCACTTCTCCTCTCTCTCCTGCTGCTGGAGTGCCCCTTCTGGCAGAAGGCCGGGCTGGCTACTACCCAGGCTGAGGGTCAGACCACTGAGGCCCTGCACTAGCGTCTCCCAGGAGGAAGCAGGGGGGGCCCCGCTTCTCTCCCCAGGGATCCCAGAAAGAGTTGGCCTATGGCTCTGGCAGTATCGACACTCACATCGGAATCGATTCTGATCTCTGTTCCCTGAGGGAGAGATCCTGGATTCCCTCTCAACCGGGTAAGGTGCCATGTGGTCGCGGTGTCTCCGCCTCAGGTGCCCCAGGAATGCTTTCTTCCTCTGAGGGAATGCCAGCCTTTCCCACCGCCTCTCTTGCAGGCTCTTCTCCTCTCGGTACCGCTGTTGGAGCAGCCCCTCTGGCAGAGGCGCAGGGTGGCTGGTGCCGGGACTGGGGCGTGGGTTACCCAGACCCATCATTAGCTGCTCCGAGGAGGAAGGCCGAGAAGCTGCTGTGCCCTCCTGCAAAGTCTCTGCAGCTGTCAGCTGAGAAGATTCCGAGGTCAACACTGGACTCCATTTCTGGAGTGGATCCATGGAGGTCTAGTCTGAGCTGGAAGCTCCGCTTAGCCCTTGTGTCTGGAAAGGAAGGTGAGGCTAGAGGTTTTCAAACACCCCAAAGGTAGCGAGGAAGGTGTGTGGACAGTCTGAAACAAAGAGTAATAAGAGAAGAAAGGAAAGCTGTCATTATTCACCTCACTTAACCTCTCTGTCCTTCCACTTCCTGGGTGTAAAAGGCGGACAATCAGGAGACCCACTACCTAGTCTTCTGAGGATTAACCGAGATAATATATCTCAAGAGCTTAGAATATGGATGGCATACAGGAAAGGTGTTAGAAATGATACCGATCATTGCATCCCTGTCACCGGGAATACAAAAGGGTGCAGTGCATTCAGCAATGTCAATTCCTTGCTGACACTTTCCAACCCATCCTCAAGCGTAATTTTAAAAACAATCAATGCGTGACTAGCACGTGCCCTTCTCACAAGCATTCATCTCCTTTCATAAAGTAGACTTGCCCTGAATGTCGTACCCCAGGGCTACATTCTTTTGGATTTTCCCCTTTGTGAGCACTGATTTTACATCTAGTCGAAAAGGCTGCTCATGCTATGGAAATCATTTCACAACTCCCAATGCATGTAAGTGAGAGTTTATTTTCCTAAAAATATAGGAGCAAAATAAAACCAGGAAATTCCAAACAGATACAAAATAGGTAACTTCACTTAAGCCAAAAGCTGGTTCTTTGAAATGATCAATATGATTGATGAATCTGTAGCAACACTGACAGGGAAAAACAGAGAGAAGCAACAAGTTACCAATACCAGGAATCAAAAAAGAGATTTCACTACAGACCCAGAAAACATAAAAGGGACAACGTCTTAATCCTGCAAACAACTCTATAAATTCTACACATTAGGTGAAATGGACCCCTTACTGGAAAACCATGAGCTACTGAAACTCACACAAGATGTAGTTCAAACATCAAACTGCATGCTCAGTCCTGTGTCTCTTAAAGAAACTGAGTTTGTAGGTAAAAACCTTTGCAAAAAGATCCCTGACAAATGTTAAAGGGAGCAATAACACTAATTCTGTACAATTTCTTCCAGAAAACAAGGCAGAGGGAACACTTCCAACTGATGTTGTGAGGCTAGCACAATACCGATACCAAGAAAACTACAGACCAGGCACAAAATTCTTCTTCAACAACAAAATAGCAGCTCAAATCTAGCAATAAATGAAAATAATAATACATGTAAACTGTGATCGAGGACATTTTATAACAAGAACACAACGGATATTCCTTCAATAACTGAAAATCAACCAACATAATCCACAGATTGAGCGATCAGATGAAGAAGGAAAATGACAGGATCACATCAGCATGTGCAGAAAAGCCATTTGACAAGATTCAAAGTCCACTGATTATATAGAAACTCTAGCACATAAAGAGTAGAAGACAGCTTCCAAAATCTGACATAGGGCATGTACAGAAAAACCTACAACTGACACTCCACTTAATGGTCAAAGACCGAATGCTTTCTCCCTGAGGTTGGGAACAAAGCAAGGATGGCCACTCTCCCCGTGACTATTCAACTTCATGTTGGAGTCCCCAGACAGGGCAATAATGCCAGAAGAGCAAACGGCACACAAAGGAGAAGAGAAGAAGTAAAAATGACCCTTTCGTAGATCACATGATCCTCTACGCGGAACACTCCAATGTATCTGTCCCAAACTCCTGGAGGGAACAAGTGAGGTTACAAAGACACAGAAGACAAATTCAACACACAGAGAACAATCATATGAGCAACTGGAAACCTAAATTTAAGAAACAACACTGTAATAGTCACAAATGCACTGGAATAGTTACATATAAAACTAAGAAAATATTCACAGAATCTGTATGCTGATGAGTATACAATGCTAAAGAAGGAAAGCAGAGAGGACCTAGTTAAATGGAGAGCAACAATGTGTTCATGGATTGAAAAATTCAACAAGGAAAAAATTCAATTATGCTCAACTTGCCTTGTATGTGTAGAATTAATGCACTGGCCGATTGAAATCCTTGATGGAAATCTATATACATATTAACAAGCTGATTCTTCAATTCATGTGGAAATTTCAATTTTTCAAAAAGATGAAAAGATTTGGGGAAATCTCACTATCCAATTTTTAGACTTGCTATAAAGCTGCAGTACTCAGGACTCCTGTCCTAGAAAAGGGTAGACACACAGATCAATGGAAGAATATAGAGAGTCCATAAATACACCCACGCAAATATGGCCACATGAGTCTTGACAGGGATGCCAAGGGAAGTTCAGTGGAGAAAGGATGATCTTTCTGATAAACGGCATTGCATGTCCAAGTGGAAAAACACGAACCTGAACCTCAACATTTACAGGCAGTTAACTGAAAAGGGTTCAGAGATGCACACGCCAAAGGTACAATCTCACGACATTCAGAAGAAACCAACTGTGGGAGAATATCTTTGTGAGCTGAGGAAAGGCAAGTCTTTGACATGTCACAGAAAGCATGATCCATGCAAGGGAAAAATGGG